GTGTAATGATCGCAAGGAGCAAGTGTTTGTTCAAGCTAAGTGGAGCCCGAAGAACACTGCAAGGGATCATGAAGAGCCTCGGGAGAATCAAGATAAAGAAGACATGCTTGGAGTTGAAGATCACCCGCAATCCAACTCGAAAATTAGGGGGGTGATTGTTGACTAATTATCGAGTAGGATTAGGATTACCCGAGATATTCTAGTTCAAGTAGGAATAGAATTATGGATCCTAGATTACTTGTTGTCCAAGTTGGGTTAACACTATATATATCATAGCCAAGCCTTGGGTTTTGATATGAGAGCCATATGAGAAACATATGAGAGTTTATTGTAATTGGTTTTGAGTTATTTTCTAGTTATAATAAAGAGATTGTTTCCAACAAAATCATCTTTTATCTCTGAACTTGATTGTCACTCTTCTTATGAACATCAAAAGTCAATATTATCTGAGCTTCTTAGAGTTATTCATTAATGTATTTATATTTTATCTCGCTTTGTCATTTGCTACTGCCCACCCCCAAATGAGTAGGTCATATTACCACGCTTATTACTAATTTTAAAATGGTATGTCTGGACTCTGGATTACTCAAAATCTTTATTATTTGAGATTTAAAGAATGCATAGCTTGACATAATATGTGACCTTTAACAATAATAAATAATTGTCATTACCATATACCACCCCAATCTCCTTTGATATGCTTAATGCAACAATAACCAAAGCCCATCTCTTTTCTCATTAGTACCTGACATTTTTGGCACACATTTCTTCATTATACCTTTTTGAAATTAATATTTTTGGTTTGTATGATGTGCTTTTGCTGATTTTTTTCTTCACAAATTGGCACCCCTCCGGGTGGGTGCTAGAGTATTATAGCTCACTTGGGTACTTTGGGTGGGTGCTAGAGCTTCAAGAAAATGCCAAATTGAAACTCTAAAAAAGTTCCTACATTTCCTACCATTGTCTTTGGTGTCAAATAAAAATTATATTATGAAACAATAAAATTGTGGATTTGTTAGGCCTTGGCTAACAAAAAATAAAAAATTGTTCCATCATAACAAGTTCTAAAGACAATGCACTATCTTTTTGCAAATGAGCAAATAAGTTATGGGTAAGTCAGTTAGAACAGTTACCTTTATATGCAGTTTCCACTTAGAATGGTTAAAAATTCAATGTTTTTATAAGTAACATCTTTTATAAGTAACATCTGTATTTAGATAAGAGAAACTAGACACTATTAAAATGGGAACAAAAAAAGAGAGCTTTATTTTTTATGTTTTCCATTTTATATCATTTTCCATCATCTCTGATGGAGCCAAAATTTCACCATTTTTTGGCTTTAGGGTGTGATGGAATAAATCAAAATGGATCTCTAAACTGTCTGCGCTTCTTTAATTAATGAAGTAGCAGTTAGTCAAGCAATGCAACTTTCGACGTTGAGCCGGGGGTCTCTTTGGAAACAGCCTCTCTACTTTCGAGTAGGGGCAAGGTCTGCGTACACACACCCTCCCCAGACCCTACTCTTGTGGGATTTAACTGGGTTGTTGTTGTTGTTGTTTTCCATTTTATATCNTTTTTTGGCTTTAGGGTGTGATGGAATAAATCAAAATGGATCTCTAAACTGTCTGCGCTTCTTTAATTAATGAAGTAGCAGTTAGTCAAGCAATGCAACTTTCGACGTTGAGCCGGGGGTCTCTTTGGAAACAGCCTCTCTACTTTCGAGTAGGGGCAAGGTCTGCGTACACACACCCTCCCCAGACCCTACTCTTGTGGGATTTAACTGGGTTGTTGTTGTTGTTGTTTTCCATTTTATATCAAAATAGAATGATATTTTTAAATGACATTTATGTGTGGTGTGGTGTTTGCAACTATTTGAAATAGGGGATGGGGTGGAAATTTCCAAATGTGGTTAACATTCAATAATCAAGCACAAGATTAAAAAAATACTTTGTAGAAAAGAAATCTTGAAATAAGATAATGAGGATAAGCAAATCATTTTTTTTGTTTATTATCAGTCCCTTCATTCCACAATTTTAGTCATTAGTTTTCCTTTTTGCTGCCAAAGTCTGAAAAAGTATTAAAAAAACCTAGAAAATATGTGCAACGTAGCTACCAATCTATACCTTTGTATAGTAATTGCATTGACTTTTAAATGAAATGTGTTAACCTTTTTATGGTGTGCAAAATGGAAAGAAAGAAACAATATGACTGGGAAGATATGTGTTCAATAAAATGAGTACAAGATATGGAGCCAGAAGATGAAGACAATGTCTATGTCCCAAAAATTGGGAATTCATCGTAGGACAGAATGCTAACAAAGTGTGCCATGTTGAAGAAAACATTTTTTTGGTTTCATCACCTCAACTCGGGCTTTGGTCTTAAGAGTGGTTCTCCTCTTTTTTAGAGGGACTTTGGTTTGACCCTCTCTTTTATTATTATTTTTTGGCATTTTATAAAATTTACTATTCTTTATTTTTTAAAAAATACATGAACAAAGTGGAGATAGATGACAAATGTCCAAGGGGTACAAAGAGGGCATTAAGGTTTGGATATAATTAGTAATCTAGATTGTGTGAAAATCACTTATAAAATTTGATTCTTGAATTGTATTTGTAAAGGAAAATCCATAAAATTTTATTTTGCATAAAACACATGCATACATCCCCAGCCCGTGCGAAGCACGGGGTAGACCACTAGTTTTTACTCCGTATTTTCTTTTCGTTACTCTTTAGCTTAGTTTTCACACAACTTTGTCTTACATTTAAAAGAATCATTTTCTAAACATTTTCTTCTTGAGTTTTCAACTATTCACTTTTGCTAGATGAGTATATGTTAGTTACACTCATTGTATGCATTTCTTAAAAACATAACAGCAGTCTCATTTCATTAGTTCAATAGACGAGTGTATACTATGAGGTAACAAAAATATTACATTAAAAACATAATATTCCGTCGTATACAACTTTCCACTTTAAAAAATTAGAATTTAAAAATGTGTAATTTTAGTATTGTTTTCCAATTTTTCCTTTACTGTATAGTAGGATATGATAAGATTTGCTTAGTAGTTTAATACTCTTTCTGTCTCACAATTATCTTTCTATTTGCTTTTTTTAGTCAAATGTTGCTAACTTTGACTATAATATATATAAAAAATATACTCAATTATGATATAAATAAATTTAATATCAATAAATTCATTTTCAAATAAAGTATTCCTTCTGTTTCATAAAACCCTTCCCCTTTCATATTTTTTGCTTTCCACAAAACACTGTCACTTTCTATTAAAAAACCACTTTTACCTCTATTTTTCCATACCCTACCTATCACAGCATATTTTTTTTTACTAATAACCAAACTATCACATCTTACTTTTTCCCATCACATTAAGGGCAAAATTGGAAAGTCAACCAAAATTACACTTTCCTTATTTTTGTCCAAAGTCAAAATAGGAATGGTTTTGTAGAACGGAGAGAGTATAAAAATATAATATACATATAAATAGAGATGTTAATGGCCAAAATTATGCACCGGAGACCGTGAAAAAACAATTAGGAAGAAAATTATGGGACGAAAGGAGTAGTAAATAGACATGATGTGATAGATAATAAGTTAATAGTCAATATGGCTAAAAAAAATATAGAAAGTGAAGAGGTTTTTTTTGAGACGGATGAAAAGTAAAAATGAATCTAGTATATGATCATATACAAAGAGTTTGTTGTGTTTATTACTTAAATGTATAACTTAAGTGATTATGGTTTGTTAATTGCCTTAAAAAAAAAGAAAACATACTATATAAGCGAACAGAGCACACAAAAAATATATATTTCAAATTCCAGTGGTTCAACGTATTGAATTAATTAAATAGATAAAAATTGGTAAAACAAATTTAATAGATTGTAGATATAGAGTGAATGAAATAGGTAGTAACCTAGCTTGTTTTCGTTTGGGCCGAAAAAGAATACTACTCCGTAATATTGTTGAGAAATTTGGTTATTTAACACAACAACTAAATAATGTTTTTCATGGGACGTAACTATGTAATGAAGAAATGATTTATGTTTGACTTATAAAAAAAATGGGTTATGTTTGACGTTTAATAAAAAAATATGGTTTACTTCAATGACCTTACTAGTGTTAATCAGAGAGGTATTGGATGAAGTAAAAGCTTCAAAGTTTATTTTAACGACGTATCCTGACTAGGTACTGTCACGTTTTTCTCAGTGGGTCAAACCACATGTTATAAGGCCGGATCGTATGTGTTCAAGTGGATGAGCCTACAAATAATCATACCATAGCGTGCGCACGAGAACCCAACGATGACCCCGTGGGTCTAGGGTTCACTTCTGATTACTGGACCCGAGGTCACGGGGAGGTATCCGAAGTAAAACTACGAATCGACTAGTGTGGTTTTCCAGCTTAGTCACGTCTTAATCTCTATTACAAGGTTAACCTAGAAGGAAAAAGTCTAATTTTTATCTAAATATCCCCAAGTAATTACTAAAGTGAGATTATTATTTTTTTTCTCTCCCATGTTTTTATGTATGTGAAAAACATTGGAATTAAATAACTTAAAATGTTCTAAAATATATTTACGTGTTATATATGTCTACTGGTTATTTGCAACTAAGCTTATGCTAAGCGTGTAGTGTTTAACTGCATGCAGGTACTAGCAAAGAAAACAACTGCTGAGGAGGAAAGCTTGGACGTGGAGGCCGTGCCGAAGGAGTTCTTATTTAATATTTAATAATGAATAAAACGTCGAACTTAATTTACATTGTTTTTTTGGGGCTTGAACCCAAGGTTGTATTAACTATGGATGTTTTTACTTTAAGCTTACGCGAAAAGCGTTTTTTTAATTCTCTTAAGTTATCAAAAAGAGAATAAGTTTCAGATAAATAATATTTTACAAAGTAACCCGGTTTTACTAGCACTCTGGTCTGGAGGAGACTCAGGTCATCCAAGGTGGGGTGTTACATTTTGGTATCAGAAAAATTGGTTTATAAAATGATCTTCTGACCCGACTTTAAAAAAAAAGAATTGAGGAAAAACATTTGATGGAAAAGAAATGTAACGCCCTCAAACCGGCCTAGTTTTAAATAAATAAATATTATTTATTTATTGAGACTCATTATTTTAAATTAATAAATATTGAGATTTTGATCTCTTTAAATGGCTTTCCAAAGCAAAGGTATTTTAATATAAAAAGATGTTTTAATAACGGACAACTCAACATTAATTAAATAAATTAATTAATGGTTGGGGTGGACCCTGAAGTTTGAAAATAAAGTTCTTAGAAAAATTATTTGAACATGTCATTAAATTCGTTTTGACTGTCTGATTCCGGAAACACAAACGGATCTCGATTTGGATCAGTTCGGGGGAAAAACCGTGTAGCGTTGAGGTCAGAACTTACACAACAGAGTAAGTTTTAGGGAGGTAACTCCCAAAACCATTCAACACGCCACTCATCCTTATTCATTCTCCCATTTTTAATTCTCCATTAATACTCATTATACCACCACCATTATATACAACCCTCTCTCCTTCATCCCTTCACCATTTGTAACCCCCCCCCCCCAACACCATTAACACACAACCATCCAACTCCCTCTCTCTCCTTCTTCCTTACGGACGCCGGCCAGTAGAATCCCAGGAGACGACGGAGCTCCGGCGAAGAGAAAGAAGGAGAAGGACGAGATCGAAGAAGAAGGAGGTGTCCACGAGAAACCATTCGTCGTTCAATGTTGTCAACCATTCGTTCATCTCGTTTCATCGTTTCATCAAACCCATTCATTTAGAGGTGAGTAGTTGTCCCCTCTAAATCTAGAACATTAAGTTATAATCTATGTCGTTACATTCATAGGAATATTGTACGCAACCTACGTAGAATCTATGCATGTTCGTAGGTTAGCCATCAAAACGTTCACTACGTAAAACACATAAATATTGGCCTAGGAATCACTAGGAATATATTCATCAATGTTGTATTATTGTTCTAAAAAGAATCTAAGTGTTAAATTAACAAAATGGATCAAAACGAAGCATTGGACAGCGGACTGTCTTCGGGACGGTCAACCACCGCCACGGACGGTGGACCGTTCCCACGGCCATTCTGATGGTCACCACCGTGACGGTCGACCGCCGGCCGCGACGGAAGACCACGGTGGACCGCCGGCATTCCAATTCTCCACAACGTATGTAACGACCCAAAAACCGGCTTACTAGTTAGCCGTTATTTTAATAAAGATAAATATAATATTTATTTACTCTAAAATATGAATTATTTGTAAAGTTGTCCGTTTTGAATAAAAATTAGGTTTTCAGGTAGATCTCGTAAAATGGTGACCAACGGTATATAGTTTACTAAAATCTGGCATACGTATAAAGCATGGTGAGTAAAATAGATATTACAGTTCAATACGGAGTAAATAAATATAAAGAATTTTATAATATTATAATATTAATAAATTAATAACAACCCATGCGTCTCCAAACTCTAAAAGGAAAACAAGAAGCACGGCAACTTTGGAAACTAGAAACCCACGCTGCAACCCTATAAAATATACGGAGTACGAGTACGAGAGGACACGAAGAAGAGGAACAGAAGCTGGGGAAACAGAACCCAGCAAGCGGATTACCACCGCTACTCTATCGCCGGTCTGCCAGGAGTTCAGAGCCGCTGCTGTGATCGCCGATTAGGGAAGGTCAGCCGCTGGTTCGCCGCCAGTCAATTGACGTTATTGCTCCGCCGTAGCCTGTGTCGCTGAGGGAGCAGGTCATCACCGCCG